GAGCCTGGCTCCATTGGGAAGGTTTGTTTGTTTTTTTTAAGATGGGGGTTATTTTGTAGTGTGAGCTGACCTGAAACTCACTATGTAGCCTAGGCTGGCCTCAAATTCATGGCAGGCCTCCTGCTTCAGCCTCCTGTGTGTTGCAATTACAAACTTGAGCCAACACACCTAGTTTCTACTGGATCCTTCTCAAAGAACTGCTACCCTGGTCAGGTTCAGACTTGATGCTAGAACTGAATTTGTTGCTTCATCCCAGAATGTGAGCCTGGCCTCTGTCCTCAGCTCTGATGTGACATTATTTAATCCTCCACTGGTGTTCTTCTACTTGGCCCAAGTTGGGACTTGGCTTCCCTATCCCCACCAGACACTTTTCCCAGGCTCATTAAGTAGGTTTCAGATTCACCCATCTTAAAAATATAGCAACCCTTTCTGATGTCACTTGGCTCTTTTGGTAATGTTGTATTTATTTCTATCTGCTAAGAATAAAATTATCCCCTTTAGGCTGGAGGTTTGTGTTCCATCATCCTCTTGCTTTTTTTGCGGGGGGGGGGGAGGGGGGCTTTTTATTTTCTCAGCCTATCTCTGATACTTTACTTCTTCGCTGCTTCCTCCATTTCCCCCATTTCCCTTTCTTCCACTCCTCACTCTCCTCTCATTTTCTCTCATACCTTATGCTTCTTCCTTGACACTGAAGTCCCCTTACTTTATAGGAAGTTTCCTGAAGCCAGCGTAGAGCCTCCAATATGCCTCTGCAGATGGCTCCCAAGGATCAGCTAATTACCTAATTGCCAAATCCTTACTTGAGCTCATATTTTCATGTCACATGACAGCCACTGTTTGAAAGTGGTGGTACATTTTCTGTTACTTAAGAGTTCCTTTCTTTTTCTCTGCCTGCCTCTTACATATAGACACTCCTTAGGTCCCCCCCCCCCCCCCCCCGCCTTTTTCCTCTTCTGAGATTTATTTTCAACTAGCTTTTTTTTTTTTTTCTTCTACCCTCTCATTGTGAGTTCCAGTGATACACATCCTGACAACTCCCACACCTACCTCCCCAATTCAGACATTGCTCCTGGCCCCCAAAGTCACCCTTCTGATGATCTCTGTGTACCTTATTCTGACTATTCTACACACGGTTAGCCCTGAAAGTCACTGTGTTCCTCTTCTAGTTTCCCTTCTGTGGTACAGCCCCATTAACCAGCCAGTCATCTCTCAGGAAACCTGGGATAAATCCAGAGCATGATTCCCCATACTTACTTGTACTGTGTGTCTTCTCTAGAATGTTGTTGACATTCCTTTGCCCATTCTATGAGCTTCTCTTCTCACTGGGTCATTATGTCATGGATCAATAACTCTTTGTTTGCTTATATTAATAATATCAACACATGGTCATAATTTATATCTCAACTCTTCGCTAAATTCTCTCTAGCTTATTAGCAATGTCATTTTTCCTTCTTAAAAAAAATAAGCCATTTTACTTGCATATAATTCATTACAGCTGACTTTTCTTAGAAACCTGTTTATAATACAGCAACTGATGGTAATTTGGTACTAGGGCCTTGTGACAGAGTAGGAGAAATAGATGTTTGACAGTATCTGTGTTTTCTTTGAGTGTTCTATAAAAGTAAAAATTTGTAGGCTACTTAATCTTATTATAGTGACTATGACAAAGTACCCTATCCAAAGGTCATAATCAAGGACACCGGAAATGTCAAGAGACATGAGACCATGCTTATTATTGTTCAGTTTCTCTGATGCTGGTAAAGTGAAGTTGACATCCTGATATCAGAACTAATTATCCTTAAATGGTCATGACTAAATCATGTCTACAGATGTGCTTATGTTGGCCAACTCCCAATTTACTTGTTTGTAAAATAAAATTAATGTTTTCATCGTGGTGAGAAAATCAAAATCTCAGCAAAACCTATGGAACAGCTAATTATTGGAATGTGAAGTTGCTGGGTAAGCACCAACTGTTACTGATGACTTATCACCCCCTGAATATGAGGTGTTCTGTCCTACGGAATAGAAAACAAGGCACCAAGACTTACTGAGAACGGACCTACAAGAAATACTCAGACACGGAGTCAAAACACTTGGTGTGTATTCTCAGTGCTGAGGATGTATACTTTATTATTTCTTTACATTTTATTATTTTTAAAATGGAAATGCATCTATTTCATGTTTACAAAGTGACTTCTAAGTTCCTTCTTGTTATTTCATGATGGATGGCATTCAAAATATAGGAGGCTTTAAGCTGAGTACAGCCCTGCATCCTATCTCTCTGAAAGCCCCAGATCCAGGAAAGGGCAGCCTAAGCACAAGGTGGCCTGCAAACCTTGGGATGAAAATAACTTTCTGTGTATAAGTGCAGATGGACCACCAAGAAGAGTCACCATCTGGGATAGTCCACCTAGGAGGAATCCAGTAAAGCCAGATAGACACCTTTAAAGGTGTTGGCTTCACCTTCCATGCTAAGAAACGCTGAATCTGAACATAGCAATCAGTGTACTTGCTTTAAAACAAACAAAAAACCCACTTAGAATTATTTATTTTATTATTTTATATGTGTAAGTGTTTTGCCTACAAAAAATGTGTGTATACCATGTGAGTGGAAGTCTTGGAGGCCAGAGGAGGACACTGGATCTCCATGTGACTGGAGTTGTAGATGGTTGTAAGGTGCCATGTGGGTACTGGTAATTGAACCCAGGTCCTCTTCAAGAACAAGTGTTTTTAACCACTGAGCCATCTCTCCAGCTCTGCACTTGGTTTTGAACAGTGTTATAGAGCAAAAATGGACAGAGCAGTGGGAAGGCTTGGATTTCATGTTTAAGTTGAGAATTCACTTTTAGACAGTGGCTCTTGTGTTATACATAAACGAGAAATCAAGTTACAGTCTCAGCCTGCATTTTTTGTTGTTAAAAATATATTCACATAGGAAAAAAATAGCGTAGGGAAAATATATCAACAGTAATTATCTAGGAGTAGAATTGCTTCTGATTTCCATTTTATTTTTTTCGCTTGTCCATTATTTTCTAAAATTCCTTTCAGCAAACATGTTTGCTTTTGTAAGAAGGAAGAAAAATTTTAAATTGCCAACCACAACAATTACACATTTGTTTAATAGTCTCGAACTTTACTGTGCCAGAAGATTGATGAAATTATTTTCATTTATAGAAGAAAGTTAATTGTGTTTATTCTAAAACATGGTATAATGTCACAGTTGTGGAAATTCCTAAATGATCATGTAATTTGGGAAGCAAATAGGCTTTTCTACATGGAGAAAAGAGGAACTTCTCAGACTTCAGGATTTGAGCTCTGAAAATATTCAGAAGCAGAGGTACTTCCTTTAAGGCAGTGATTCTCAACCTGAGGGTTGTGACCCCTTTATGGGTCAAATATCAGACACGGTAAATACCAGAAATTTACATTACAGTTAATATCAGTAGCAAAATTACAGTTATGAGGTAGCAGTGAACATGGTTTTATGGTGGGGGTCACCACAACATGAGGAGCTGTGTTATAGAGTCCCAGTAACAGAAAGGTCGAGAACCACTATTCTGAAGAAACCATGCTTCCCAGAGCACAGGATACCCCCATAAGAGACCCTCCAGTCACCTGGTAGACTCCTGCCAGCAGCTTTTCTTTTGGTAAAACGGCCACGGGAAGGAAGAGAACAGTTTCTTTCTTGGGTCACAGCCTCTCTCCCTTCCGGTTGGAGAACAAGGGACTGAACCCTTTTGTTGCAGCCTTAAAATGTTCTATTCTAAGACAGGAAGAGGCAGGCACACGTAGGCAATCAGATTAAAGTGTGCTCACTGGTATGTGAGTATGTGTATGTGTGTTTGCATGCATTTGCACACAGAGTCCAGTGCTGTTAAGCAGTAGAGAGCCGAGGGCATCTAATGATTACAGCTGGCTCCACTCACTGTCTGTGGGGCCACTGGTTTAAAAACCATCAGAAAAACTACTTTCTTTAGTTCATAGATTTGCTCCATAAAATAGAGAAAAAAGGAGGAGAACCAGGGGCCTTGTAAGAATAACCATGCTGGGCTAGAACCGAGGTTGGGTGACTGACTATACTCCATATAGTTGAGATCAAAGAAAGATAAAAAAGGACCCTACTTCCAAGTATTCCTACAAGTTGTTTGCCTAGATCTTAATAATGGACAAGACAACACATTTTCTTAAGTAAGTACTTTCCACATTTCATTATATATCATGAATTGGTCTAAAATTTGCTTTTGGAGTTATAGTCTTAGAGATCAAGTGTTTCTCAGAATTCTTAGAAGCTTAGCACCCTACAACAGTGGGTGTTACTTGGACCCTTGGTGACAGTAGGAGGCACAGGATTTTCGGCTAGGATTGAGCAAGCAATCAAATGGGATGCTAAGGGTTTTCATTTAAATTTTGTTGTGCTCTGACTCCTGTTCCCATTCTCTGATCAAAACTTCATTGACATATTTTGAAATATCTCAGTAAGACTCTAGTCTTAGGAAGTAAAAGAGACCAGAAAGTGCTAAATTAGCATTGATTTTTCGTATTTTAGCAATAGCTAAGAGAAGAATAGAGGCCATCTCTTTCCAGTTTTATATATTTCATACCCCGCATGCGATTTTCCCTGGAAGTGCTCAGCAGACATCTGTGCCCAGATGTGGACAATGAGTGTGTACACATTAGAACCCACCGGAAGTGGTGGAAAAGTTTCCCCTTCTCTAGTCAGGACTGGGACACGATTTTGTGAGCTTTATTTGAAATAGTCAGCATTGGACAGCTGGGGGACACAGCAACGATAAACTTTGTATTTTCCAAGAAATCAGTTAGCTTTGTCCAGTTGACATCAGAAACAAAAAATTGTAATGTTATTTTTTCCTTCTTTCTTTGTGTTTGTGTGTGTTATGAATGTGGTGTGATGTTTGTGTGTGTATGTGTTACATGAATGTGATGTATGTGGTGTGTGTGTGTGTGTGTGTGTGCGCACGCATGTGCACGTGTGTGTGTAGTTTAATTTACCTAGAGGCCAGAATGAAGAGAATGAACCCTCCATGTTGACTGAGGCTGATAAACTGGCTGTCCTGACCCCGCCTGAGGCCACCAGTACACCTGAGCCATTTCTCAGCAGCTCCGAAGCAATGGAAACCAGAACCCAAAGTCCCAATTTGATTTTACAGTCAGAAAAATCTCTATACAAAGGTAAGAGACATCTGTCACACAGCTGCTGTATCCACAGTGTGAGGGTGGCAAACAAGTGGTCTCTAGAATGTCCTCTGAGGAAATGCTGTAACTTAATAGGGAAGACAAAGCCAGTTTTGGCTGAGTCATATGGAACTTGAGAGACAGCTGTCTGGGGAGCAATGTGGTTATGGAAATGTCACAGTACTGGTTTTAACCTGAATGTTTTAGAGGTGATTGTTTTCCATTTGCTATGGCCTCAGCTGTTCTGTGTTCTCCTCAAACATAGATATTTGGGTTTTTGACCCTTGATTGTATAACTTGGATTTGGACCCAGCAACATGTTTTCTATGAGTTCATATACATATAGAGCAAACCCATCACTGTGTATGTTTTACAACATACAAAAAAGCGACAACATCCAAGACCAGCAGAAGCTTAAATGAACTTGAGAACAGGCTGCATGATCTAAGTTATTTAGTTCTTGAGGTGGGGGTTGTGTGAATCTGTTCTTTTACATTAGGCCTAAGAAGTCTTCATAGCAGCAGAAGTAGGTTTAGAGATCAGTATTAAAAATGATATCAAGACACACTCCAGACTTGGGATAATTTCTTCAGGTAGAAAATTAAGAATTGTCATTCTGTATTGTTGATCAATGAGAAGGGATTTAATAAGTTGGAGCCTCAGTTAAATTAACAGAATGTGGTCTTATTGTTTTGGCTTTCTTATAGGAGTTGCACTCCTGAAGTTCATAATAACTGACATTAGATGGCCATGCCCTGTCTATTTGGGTCCTGCAACAGTTGTCCTTTAAAAAGAAAACTAGAGTCATTTTTTTTTAATGATCCCTCCTGGAGGGCATCACCCTCCCTGTGGAGGGGGGAAATGTGATGGGAAGGGGGGTTGGGGACATGGGAGAGAGGGAGATGGAACTGGGATCAATATGTAAAATAAAAAAAATATATATGTATACACATACATACACACACATACATACACATACACACACACACACACACACACACACACACACACACATATATATATATATATATATATATATATATATATATATATTTGGAGAGAGAGAGGAAGGAAGAAAAAAATAGAAAACTAAAACCAAGACTTCCCTTTGGTGCTTGTGTGTTGTCTAAAGTAAAAGACAGAAGTCCTGTGCTGAGCACAGAAGTACAGTTCCTCCGGAGGTAAAGGGTAGAACATTACAAGTTCAAGGCCAGCCTGGGCTGCCTAGTAAGAATTTTTTTTTTTTTTTTTGAGAAAGGGTTTCTCTGTGTAGCTTTGGAGACTGCCCTGGAAGTAGCTATTGTAGAGTAGGCTGGTCTCTTACAGAGATCTGCTTGCCTCTGCCTCCTGAGTGCTGGGATTAAAGACATGTGCCACCACCACCAGGCTGCCTAGTGAGACTTTTTTAAAAAAAAATGCTGTGTTCTCCTGTCAACTAATTCCCCAGAGATATTTGTCAATGGATTGTCACTCATGTCTTCTTGGAAATGTGCAATTGAATAGGCTTTCCTAACGATGAAAGCCTTGATTTTGAAGGAATGGATAACCAGTGGTAGAGTTTTAGGTGGTAGGAAGAATATTTGGGGTAATATAGAACTCTCCTTTCAATAACTTAGAACCATAAAGCTTTCCCCCCTCATGTCTTCAATGGAAACAAAACAAAACAAAAACCTTCTAGTAACATCTACCCCCTTCTCTCCCTAGATCCAAGATGTGAGGAACCCCTGAAACCTGGAAACTGTGGAGACTATGTAGTTCGATGGTATTATGACAAACAGGTCAACTCTTGTGCTCGCTTTTGGTTCAGTGGCTGCAATGGCTCAGGGAACAGATTCCACAGTGAAAAGGAATGTCAAGAAACTTGCCTTAAATGATGAAGAAGCTCATCAGCCTGCTCCAATCAGAGGCTCAGAAAGAGCCCAACACAAACTTTGCGCCACAGCCGAGCATACACATAGTAGCAATAATTCATAAACATATAGAATCCTCACAACCACCACCGTATAATATTATATAGACTATATATAGTATTACTAACTGCCTCCCAGGTGAGAAAGCTAACACTCATGCTTTTAGTGGCTTGTCAGCTGTCACCCAGCTGAAGGGTGGAAGTACTAGGGACTTGGACTCAATTGTGTAACTTTAGAACAGAGGCTTTATCTGCCTCACAACCTGCAGCTTTTTCCTGATTCCCAATCATTCTATAACACATATTATGTCAGGTCAAAACCTACCCTGCCTGTGCCTCCACTCTTACAGAATGGTTTGTGATGGGAAGGACTCTGATTTGAACGTTGGAAGTGGAAGGGATGTTTACATGTGTGCTGGGATAGTGGCAGAGGATGATGAAGACTGAAGAAATCAGCCCCAAGTGCTAGCAGAGATGCATCTGAAATAAATTCACTAATTATATGGCAAATGGACACTTCCCATTCCCTTGGTACCAAATCCTTTGAATGCTTAAACTATGTATTAAAATGAAGTAGTAGGCTTTACATCTTTTCTTTGCAGACAAATGAATGAGCCTCAATTTTATGGTGAGGGGGATGAGAATTAAGTCTATCATTTTGTAATAATTTTGTTACATCAAGTGTGGGAGGGCTGATAATTCTAAGACAGTATTTTGGCACATCATCAACAACATGCTTTCTCCTTCTTAGCTTGTCATTCTCATTCAAGTTGGGCACCAGAAAGGTCCAGACTAAGGAAATGGAAGAATAGCCATCCTGGCAAAAATAACATTACAGGGGTTTCCATGGCATAATTAAAATTGTATTGTGTAATTTTTTATTAAAAAAGAATACATACAATTTGTCTGTCATTTATAAAACAGGATGAGACAGGCAGTAACCTACAGATTAAACTAAAGCCTTGACACTATGGAAATCCCCTCGCTAGCTTTCTGTGCCAGGGACATCCTACTTCAAGCTTTGTGTCGCTATTGGCTTTTCTATGTGATTTTACATGTAAAACTACTTGTATGTAAATAATACATAGTGTTGCATAGCTTATAGCTTTGTAAGAATGATGCTATATTCTCACCTTCCACAACTTAATATTTTAATTTAGCTTTGTAATCAATCCATGTTTTACTTATATAAATACATTGCCAAATAATTTATTACTTAGATGTTGGAGTCCTAGTCAACTTTCACTGAAATATGTACTTCTCTGTGATTTGCTAGATGACATCGTCATTCATATGTGAACATTTATATGAATGCCATACTTGCATAATATTTGTAAGAATATATAACAATATATTTAATCATTGCTTTGGCTGTGATCAGTTGAGGTGTTTCTACTTTATTTTTTTCACAATTCCACAAGCATTACTGAGGATGTTTTCATATCTGTATCCTTGGATACACACATTCCAGATTTTCAAGTATATATACCCTAAATGGTATTTCTGAGATGCTTATATATAATGTATGTAAACACACACACACACACTCACACACACAGAGAGAAAGAGATACACATTCAAAACTAGTATACATCATGCCTATTTTCTCCCCAAAGTGAACCAGTTTATTGTAGGTTCCCTACCAGTTGCATCAGAGGTATTATTGTCTAATGACTGTCAAATCCACTGTCTTTAGATACTTACTGTTAGCAGAATTCTTCCTTTTGCTTAGATGACTATAGTGCATCCATATCTTGTTTTGATGTGGTGTTCTCCGGGAACACCTTAGCCAGCTTCAATACCATCTGTGCTGCTGCTTCTGTGAAATGCCTGTTTATAACCACAGATGATTTTTTTGTTAGATTGTACTGTTTTCTTTATTGAGTTTGTGGAGTTCTTATGTATTTTGAGGTGTTTTGAGTGGTGTTTATATTGCTAACACGTGTATAGCCCACCTGTCTTTCTCTCTGCTTCCTTCCCCCTCTCCCTCCTCTCTCTCATTGTGTTTTGTTTTCTGTTTTAATTTCTTTTTTCTTTTTCTCTTTTTAGACAGGGTTTCTCTGTGTAGCCCCGACTGTCCTGGAACTATCTATGTATACCAGGCCAGCCTTGAACTCTCAGAGATCCACTTACATCTGCCTCCTGAGTGCTGAGATTAGAGGTGTGCACCACCACTGCCCAGCTTCTGTTTTCGTTTTTAATGCAGTGAAATTTACCGATCTCTATTTTCATTGCTCAGTTTCTCATACACCTTTCCTGAGGGGAAAGACTTCCCAGGACCAGAAATTATCTAGGGCAGGCAATAGGTCTCTACCTTCCCACTTTGTGCCTGGTGATTGATTCCTTCCTTACATACAATGCTCTTGGGTTGTTTCAGAATAGTGTCAGTATTTGTCCTTTGTCTTCTTTAGTTGACCCTGAATGAAGGTATGAGCTTGGACAGAATGTAATGGCTCTATCACATTTTTCTTCTTCTCTTGTGGTGGAATTAAGGGCTTTGAGCACTTTCTTGTCCTCTGGAAGTCTAGCGATGCATTATAAAGTGTGTATTAGTCACCATATGTTGTTGGAAAAGTCAAAAGATTTCACAATGTTTCACTGCAAGTTTGACAGGAACAAAGTATTTATATTCCCTTTTCAAGCTTTCAAAATGTTGCTCCCACAGAAAGATGAATTGCAAACATGTTGCATGTTGACTTGGGTTTCTTCTTTTGTCTGGGCATCCTCGTCCTCCTTCCTGACTGTGTCCTAAGACTTCAAGGACGATCAGTACCTCCCCTACCCCCTGCTTTGTGCTGTCTTCTTAATCCTGCCATCCATGTTCAGCACCAGAGACCCACACACCTACCTTATGTTGTCCCCTTTTCACAGTGACCACAAGCTCAGCTGCTTCACACGTCCTGGAGCACATCTGCTTCTTGAGACCATAACAAATGACGACAGCCTTAGTGACTGAAATAACAAAATGTGTTAATGTGTGGTTACATGGGTTTAGTCTCCTGGACCAAAACTAGTATGTCTAGAGTCCAGATTGTATTTCTTCTGGGGACCTGAGGGAGAATCCTTTTCTCTTTTCCAACATGGAAAGGCCACTTACATTCCTTGGCAGGCATCCCATTGCATCTCAGTCCATGTCTGTCTGTCTCTCTGTTCCCCTTCCCCTGTCTTTCTCACCCTCCCTTCATCCCCTTCTCTCTTTCTGTTTGTTAAGACAAGATCACACTGTAACCTCCACTTTGTGCTGTCCTGCTTTCCTTTCGGAGTGCTAGGATGGAAGAAGGCATGCATATGAGACTCCAATACTCTGTTTTCCTTTCCTTTAATTATTTTATTTTACGTTATGGGGTTTTTATCACAGCTAAGACAGGAACTTACTATGTAGCCCAAAGTGATCTAAAACTCATGGTTATCCTTCTGCCTCAGCCTTTCCAGTGATGGGATTACAGTTGTGTACCACCACATCCAGCTTCTCCCTCTGTTTTCAAAATCAGCAGCACTGGTGGGGTCTCTCTCTCCTGCTGCCATCTTTCTGGATGTTTGACTAGGAACCAGTCATTGTTTTTTAAGAATTATAATCAGATATCATCCATTTGAATAATCCAAAGACCTCTTACCACAAAGTCCTTCACCCCAGTCACACCTATCAAGTCTCTTCTACCAAGTATGATGGATAAAGGAGTGGATGTCTTTGAGACCATTCTGCTACGTGCCATACTGCCTCTCCTCTACTGTATGAGCCATTCATGAGCGAGGACATCATGCATCATCCTCCCTGGACCTTTAGTTCCTTGCAAGCTGGAAGAACTCAGGAAATGTAAAAGCAAATTAAATTCATTTTTATGAAAGCAATTTTAGAAATGATTATTTGCAAGAGAGGAATAGAAAAAGATCATGAAAAAAATCATGAGTTTTTAACAATACCCCAATATGAAAACTATCCTTCTCAGATGTGTTTTGACAGTAAAAAGCCTCCCCCTCCATCACTAGCAAGTGAAGGAAAAGCCATAGGATTTGCTGTCTGGATAGATTTGGGGTCAAAGAAAATAAAAGATCTGGTAATTTATTCTGGAAAAGAGGATGAGGGTTCATAATTTTAATTTTTGGACACCCATCACACACTTGATAAGAACATTTGTCATTAGCTAAACCATCTTACACCATCATTTCTACCTTTTAGCTTCAACTTCACTATCTTCACAAACTTCAACTTCACTAACTACATAAAACACTTCTCGGGTATTTGAATTCCTGTTGTGGGTTATTTGTACACTGTGTGAAGATTTATTGCTATAACTGATGTAATGAAAAGCTTAACAGCCAATAGCTAGTGGGAAGGGTTACACAGGACTCCATAGCAGAGAGAGAACTCTGGGAAGAAGTTGCCCACTAGACAGAGGAAACAGGATACATGCAAGAGGAAAGGTAACAGCCACAAGTCACATGACAGGGCAAAGATAATAGAGATGGGTTAATTCAAGTTATAAGAAATAGTTTGGAACAAGCCTAAGTTGTAGGTTGAGCTTTCATAAGTAATAAGAAGTCTCTGTGTTATTATTTGGGAGCTGGCTGGTGGGACAGACTTACTACAAATTCCCTGTTAAAGTTAAGAGATAACAATTAGGTTTCTTGACTTTATTCTTTATCTCGAGAATGAGGGAAAAACATTTGCAACTGTAACAGATGTTTTTAAATGTCTCTGAAAAACTGAGATCCTATAAATAAAAAAGAATTTTAAAAGAAATCTAGGAAATCAAAGTGTTAGTAATTCAAATATGATGCCCAGTAAACATATGAAAAGACACCAAAACAGGTCTCAGAAGGATCTGGAGGGCAGAAACTTGGTGAGGAAGAAGGACCACAGGAGTCTGCCAAGGACCTCGCTGAGAACCAACAAGGGATGTCTCTTGAGAGAGAGTCCAGTTAGATGTTTAACTACCTATGCCCTTGCCATTACAAATCTTGAATCCAGAATGTTCAGTAATAGCAATGTAAAACCTTTTCCCTCTCCTTATGGTATCTTTAAATGAAATGTCACTA